TGGTGTAAAATCCAGAACTGGGATGAGGCCCCTTTAATAACTTGGCCCTGTCTGCATATCAGCACTTTGTCTAGTTTCAGCCCAACATTAATTTTTATGAGAGCGTTATGAACCGCTGAAATTAAGGGGTTAAAAAAATTTGACAGAGTTCTGTCTAAAGTAACGTGAATGGTGCCCCTTCAGATCATCCCATTCAGAGTGACATTTTAACAGGTAGATTATTTACACTAGGTCAGATTAAAATGACAAGAACTGTCATGTTTATGAAAGTTTGCTCTACTGAACACAGCGTTTTCCCTTTATAACAGGGGCTTCCTTTGTGCCACTGGGGCATATGCTGACCCAGAAAATAGCATATCAGATTGCAACGGGCCTTGCCTACCTGCATAAGAAGAACATCATATTCTGTGACCTAAAGTCAGACAATATTTTAGTGTGGTCCCTGGACATTAAAGAGCATGTCAACATCAAACTGTCTGACTATGGGATTTCTCGGCAGTCATTCCATGAAGGAGCTCTTGGAGTGGAAGGCACTCCTGGATACCAAGCCCCAGAGATTAGGCCTCGAATAGTCTACGATGAAAAGGTAACTACGAAATTTCCATTAGAGTGGCACAACTCTCATCTATAATCCAGTGAAAAAGATGCTCATCAAGGCCCTTCATGGAGTTTTATCACATGTGCTGACTAAAGCCCAGGTTTTCAAAAGTGGGTGCCTAAAGTTGTGCTCCTGAATACATATTTAGGCACCTAGGTAAATAGCTTGATTTTCAGAGGTGCCCAACAACAAATTCTCTTCAGGTACTCAGCACCTCTAAAAAATCAGACCATTATTTAGGTGCCTAACTGGATTTAGGAATCTTAACTTGAGACACACACTTTTGCAAAGAGACCCGATTTAATGGAGTCACTGATGAAGAAACTAAGTGTGGTGGTGGTGTGTTAACTGTCCTCAAGATATGAGCAAGGCACATGCAAACTGGACTCCTTGTTCATAACACTGATTGCAGCTAGGTTGGAAATGTCTGTATGTGCCATGGACGATTCCTTGCTGGGAACAAAGTGATTTGAATTGTTCGTTTAGGTCCATTCATTCTTTCTGGAAGAAATTAACCCCGTGCGCACAAGCCAGCCTAAGGGCTATGCAGCACTTAAGAGATGCATAAGCCTGGCCCACTGCACAGGGGTGCATTTCACCTTCCATGCATATGCTGAATGTGCTGCTGATCTTATTTTATTACCTTGTAATGCTTGTTTATGTATTGTTTGGTTTCCATCACTGCTGTCAATGTTATCCCAAATTCTAGCAATACAATAAAACTCCCTTCCAAAGAAATAGCCATACCCCATCTATGGAGGCAGCTAATTGCTTAACTGTCTGATATTTGCCTTAGGTGGACATGTTCTCCTATGGAATGGTCCTATATGAACTATTGTCTGGACAGCGGCCTGTGCTCGGACAACATCAGCTTCAGATTGCGAAGAAGTTGTCTAAAGGGATCCGGCCCATTCTGGGGCAGCCGGGGGAAGTACAGTTCCACAGAATGCAGACGCTCATGATGGAATGTTGGGACACTAAGCCAGAAAAGGTACAAGGGGGGCCTGACAATTGATGCTTTTCGACCATTTATCTACTGCTTGTTACCGGGGCAGCCCCCCTCTACATGCTAAGGGCTAGATCCTCAGCTGGTATCAATGGGCACTGCTCCGCTGACATCAGTGGAGACGCTCCACCCGTTTACACCTGCTAGTGATTGGGCCCTTGACTTCCATTGACTTCAGTTTGGGTTCCATGAGTGGAGCAACGGTATGCTTACCCTTAAGGTGAAATCATGGCCTATTGAAGTCAATGGCAAAACTTTCATTGACTTCAGTGGGGCAAGATTCCACTCTTGATTACTAAAAACCACTGATGTGTCATGCTGTGAATACATCTATAAGGAATTCAGGAGCTTTGAAAAAAAGTCACCATGGGGACAGGAAAGGGTTTCAAATACAAAAGGAGATTACACTGTACTATATCTTTCTTTAATCATTTTGCATGTTTGGAGCCACAGTCCCTCACGTAAGGGCCAGGCAGAGCTTTGATTTACAAACACTTATACTCTGTGATGAGCGTGGCTCTCTTCCCTAAATTTTCAAAGCGCAAGAGGTTCATAGATAAAATCCTAATGAGAGAGGGGTGGAAGGAGAGGGATCGGCCTTGATTCTTGTAATTTATGTTGGTTTTACACTGAAATGCAAAGCTCAGGGAGCACCTATGGGACAGGATTCTGAAAGAAGTTTAAGGGATTTGGTGCAGATTTGGGCACCCTTAGGTTCTTTTGAGCTCCCCAGCCTATGGAACTATAGATGTAATAAATAGTGATTATTATGAATGTATTGTTTATTCTTGACCTGCAAAAGAATCTCTGCTGTGTACACACTATTCAGCGTATGTACTTTTTTTTTTTCTCAGCGTCCATTGGCCATTTCTGTTGTAGGACAGATGAAAGATCCTACGTTTTCTACTTTCATGTACCTGCTGTGTTGTGGGAAGCAGTCTTCCTTCTTTTCTTCCCAAGGCCAAGAATACACTGTGGTATTCTGGGATGGGAAGGAAGACACCAGGTAGAGGGTTTGTTTTTATCCTTTTCTATTCTTCCTTGCTTTCACTATTTGTCATTCATAGCATTTGGTTGATTACTTAAGCCATACATTATTATTTCTGCTCCTTGATTGGATAACTAAATCATTTTAGACAGGAGAGTAACAAGTTATGCATATTTCGTACATATTTCAGAACTTATAACTACTTATGCTAAAATAGTTGCAACTTCTGGGATTCATATACCCATTTTTGAATACCCAGGGTTTGTTCAAATACCCATATAAAATCAGAGTGAATCATAGTGAAACAAACATAGTGCTTTTATTCACAAAAATATTCATTAATCAAATTTTTAAAAA